GGGCGGGCTCTCCGGGCCGCGAGGGCGCGCTGCGCGCGGCGCCGGGCTCTGGCCGCGTCCCGGCGAGCGAAGGAGAGGAGCAAGGGCGCGGAGGTGAGCGGAGCCCGGCGGGCGCGAGCCGAGGGGCGCGAGCGCAGGCACCCGCTCCTTTCTCTTCTGCCTCGGCGGCGGCGAGTCCTTTCACCGTGTTTGCAACCTTGCCTCCCGCCCGGTTCACTGGGGCTGCCCGGAGGCCGCGGCCGGGCAGCTGTTGCGCCGAGAGGGGGCAGCTGCGGAGTTCTATAACCATAGCAACCGCATCAGCACCACGGCAGCGGCGGCGGCGAGGGCAGCATCCTCTCGCTCCTCCTCCAGGCAGCCTTGCTGCGGGGACCCGAGACCCAGCTCGCAGGTGCTCGGACTCGGCGGGCCGCTTACTGCCGCCGCAAGTGTTGGCGGCCGGAGAACGCGAAAACTGCAGAGCGAGAGCCCCAGGAGCGGTGACCCAGGAGGCGAGAGAGGGGAGCCCTGCAGTGGGAGACAGGTAGGTGAGAGCTCTCCAGGGTCGGCAGCTGCAAAACTCTCCTCTGTGGCAGTGACGTTTCTGGAAGCGTGGTTGCTAGTTGGATGGCTTTCTATTACTTAACAGGGATTCCGCCGCGATTCCGCCGTGAAATGTAGTTTATCTCTTTCTGTCTCCCCCAGTCCCTTGTCCTCTAGTCTCAAGACACATCTGGGCACGTCTTGAGAGGGCAAGAGGGGAAATCTGATGTGATTGGTGGGGAGGTGCTGGGTTAATGATAACGAGGTGGTCCCTGCAGAAGTCCCAAATGGAGGCTGAGGGGGCACATCCAGACCCTTGCCGAGCAAGTCCTCTGAGCCCGTGAACCCCAGGCAGGTTGGGGAAAAGACCAGGTTGGGGTGAAAGGAGCAGTGGTGGCGAATCTCTGTGATCCAGGCTGACCCAAGGATCTGTTCTCTCTGTGGCTTGGCTGGGGACAGGGTTGGGGGGCACTGCAGCTCAAGTGTGACGTGGAAAGGGACCAGAGCACACCAGGTCTTGCTTTTGTAAGGTCAGCTTCAAACCCAGCAACTGGAGGGGAAATTTAGACGAAGGGAGTAGAAACTATTACCATTTTGGGATGCAGAGGTATCCCTGGAGTTTATCCTGTTGATTGCCTTTGGCTGAAAGGGGTGGAGTGAGGGTAGATATGGAATTATAAACCAACAGTTAGAAAATCTCCCCTCTTTTTACCTTCTCACTTCAGGCCAGTCCCCCCCAACTATTGCTAGCAAAACAAGACTTCCATGAAGTATAAAACAGCCTTTGTCCCCTTGGCCGAAGGGGACGCTAGCCATTGAAAAACTACCCCACTTCGAAAGAGCTAGAGGATTCTGCTTCCATTCTCTGTTTGAACCAAGGAGGCATTGTTTTCCATCAGGTTCCTGATTATAAGCGATGTGTCAGAGCTGAGAGGCACCGGCGCTATTCCCACAGAGTGATGGGCCGTTAACCTCATCTGCAGGCCAGAGAGAGGGGCAGAGGTTTGGGCATGACTTCAAACCCAGCTCTGCAAGGGCCAGGGCCCCTGAAGACCATAGAGGAGGGAGATAAAGTTAGGTGAACAATTTGGGTCTAAAGGCTCTTGCCTATGGGTATGTGGGTCTGGGTAATTTTCAAGATGGGCCATTGACTTTGATAGGCTTTTGCTTTATACCCTGGCCTCGGGGGACAGAGATAAGTCCCAGTTACAAGGCCATGTTCTTTAATTGGGCTTTTAATTTATGCTGTAGTTATGTTGCCCAAGGGGATGTGATTTGACCAGCATTTCATTTGGGATTTGGGTCATAATGAGGATGATATTACTGTATTCTGGGCAGATAGTAAGGTGTAGAGAAAAGAGGACACAGTTTGAGAGTCAGGAAACATGGATGTGAACTCTGACTTCATCATTCACTTGCTGTGTGACCTTGAGCTCCTGCACCTCTCTGAGACTCCTTTCTCCCGTCTGTAGAATGGGGATGCTAACGATTCTTGCAGCTTGACAGCCTCTTGTGACAATTGAGTAGCATGTTGGAGAGGATGGATGGCAAAGGACTTCTCCAAACCTAATGTCTTGGGCAAATAAAAGGAATTATCATTGTTTTATAGAGAAACTCTCTTCCTCCGGTCAGCAAAGCATTAAACAGACATCAGCTATGAGAAGGGAGTAGAAATATTGGTCAATGACTCACAGCTTAAGCACTGTAGTCTGGTCCAAGATACACTCAAGCAAATATGAAGGGGGCTTTGTCGGGGAAAGCACAGCATGTCACCCTTATTTACAAATGTTGAAGGTCAAGGGCTTTGGCATCAAATGCAGTGCTTATCTAGTTTGGGAACACTGAGGTCTGCTCGTGCAGAGTTGGACTAAGCGTTTAGTTTACAGTGTAAACAGGGATTTGCACACAGTGGGGACTCATTTAAATGTTGGTTAGATGGAGACGTTAGATACATTGTGAGCTCCTTTGGGCAAAATTCACCTTTATCCAGCTGTGCTCTGTAATGCCGAGTGTTTACCAAATGTTTGTCCAATTTTGACTAAATGCTTACAGCTTGATGGAATGGCTGGGCTGTCTTAATACTAATCCCTCCTCTTTTCTACCCCTGTTTTTGCTCATATTCTCTCTGCCTGGAGTGAGCATTGCTCACTTCCTTTTCCCCTTCATGACCCAATTCAAATGCCCCTTCCTCCAGGAAGCCTTCCTGGGCTCTCCCCTGTGCTCTGGCAGTACTTTGAACCTGCTCTGGGACAGCCTGTGCTGTGTCATGTTGTTCTTGCTTGCACCCATGCCTGCTTTCTCTCTAGATGTCATGCTTCCTGAAGGCAGGAGCCTGGCCCTTCCTCCCACAAGTGAGGCTCTGCTTGTAGCTTAGCCACGATGGGTGATTATTGATCACGTGCATGAGCTGTACCTGTGACATGACCACCTGCACAGGAAGAGGCTGACACGAAGGCTGGCCTCACTGCCTTCCCCGTCTCAGAATGTGCAGGAAGCCTGAAGGATGCTTGCTGGGTTGTTGTGCATTATTTAGGGTCAACCCACTGAAGCAGAGTGAAGGAGAACAGAAACACATACTTTGCCTTAAAAATGCTCATTTTTTTTCAAGTGGGTACTTTAGAATAACTGTAATCTAGTGTTGAATGGCCTTCAATAGCATTGGCTGGCAACAGCTGAAGGAGAATTTTAACCTGAAAGTGTATTTCTCTCCCTTCAATTTCTTTCCTTGATTTCAGCTCCAGTGTAATGGAAAAGCCCATAGATCGGATCAAGAAAGCTTAGATTTGAATCCTGGTTCTAGGTGGACCAGGAGCTAGGATGCTTGGTCTCCTTGTGCCTCAGTTTTCTCATCTGTAAAATGTGGACGGTAACACCTGTCTCACAGAGATGCCAAGTACCTGGAGTGCGTGAAAAGCTATGCAGTAAAAGCAATTCCTAAATATAAAATAACTTACCCCATCAATGATTTCTTTCAGTTTTTTTTTTGTCCTAGAAAATGAGCAAAACCTCTATGTCTGATTACACAGCATCAGAGGACGTGCTGGAAATCCTGGCTCGTTACCCTCTTACGAGCTTGGTGTGACCTTCAGTAAATCATTTTGCCCCCCTGCCCCCAGCCATTTGCCTTATCTGCATTCCATTATAATGACAGCTACTTTTCAAGATGGGCTGGGAAGGCATACATTAAGATAAGTGTCGTTCTGGCACATAATATGTGATATCTGTAATTTCCAAATGACAGATATAATTGCCAAAAATAGAAGGTTCTAACTTTTTTTTTGGAAATGTCCCAAAATGCATTGTTTCTGTCTATCCCCCCGTTTCACTTACCTTTTAGAGGGGGTCGGGGTGGAGAGAGAGTGAGGGAGGAACTACTAAGAAGAAGATAGTGGGACTATGAAAATGAACGTGTGTATGTGTACGTGTGACTGGGGCCTTGGGCTGCACACCAGAAATTGACACTGTAACTGATTGTACTTCAATTAAAAAAAAAGAAGTTAGTGGTAGTTTACAGAACCCTCTTTTCATGTGAGATACCATGAAAAAGTAGAATAAGCTAAAGGTTCAGACTGAGTCCTCTAGCTCCGAACCCAGCTGGCCACAGGACTGTAGACCTGACCTCCTCCCCTTTCTGGGCCTCTATTTCTTAATCTGAAAATAGCCTGGGTGATTTCAATGGCCCCATCTTTCTCTGTTTTCAGTGCTTCTGTCCACTAATTAATGCTTCTCCTCACCAAGGTTACCTCTGTGGACCTCAGGATGTCCTTTTGGTCAAAACTCACCACTTGTCCAAACCTTAGATTTTAACGCCCCTCCCCCATCCTCACCACCATGTTTCTCCTCTTTTAGAATGTCCCCAGTTTACAAGGTTAGAGTCCCTAATATAATCCTGGGACGTAGGGAGGTGTTGAATACACCATGCCTCCTCTCCTTGTTCCCACTTCATTTCTTATCTGACCTCAGGCAAGGCTTGGTCCATCCTGGAAGATCTCCATTCAAAATACGAGAAACTGTATGAAGTCCTGTCTTACCTGCTAGAGCTGGAGGGGATTCATGGTCATCTCTAATAATCTTCCCAGACCCTGGGCGCTCAGCAACGTCCAGTGTTTCTGTTCAAACATGAATCATTTCTAGATGGCTGCACACTGATCGCAGGAGCAATTCCTGGGGGAGGGTTTAGCATCGCTGGAAACTGGCTCTGTGAACCAGGGCTCTTTCCTGCGGCCCTCCACCTGTGATGTAAATGGAGAGGCCCTGTGTGTGCCCAGTATAGGAATTCTGAATCAGTAGCCTGTCGTGGGTCACTCATCACGCCAGATCCTGGGGGTCAACAAGCAAGGAGCCTGCCCTGTATAACTGGGGGCTCAGACTTGCAGACAGAAGAATGAACCAGGTAATCAATGCAGGGTTCCAGAGAGCAAAGAGAAGGGGCATTTGACACATTTCCTAGGAGGGTCTGTCCAGGAAGGCTTCACAGAAGAGAGTGAGCCTGAAGGAAATCTGCAGGCGTTTCTGTGTGGCCAAGGGGCGCTCAGCAGCAGGAAGTAACATGAAAGCCTGGAGGCAGGAGGTAGCAAAGGAGTGTGGTCCAAGGCTGGACCACGAGGGGTGAAGTGGGGTCTGTGGAGGCTGAGAAGGTAAATAGGGGCCACATCTTTGGGAGTCTTCTGAGCCAGACTAAGGAGCATGCCTTCTCACCTGAAGATCTTGGGAACCATGGAAAAGTTCAGAGTCGGGCAGACCACTTGACCCAGCTTCAGAGGAGATGCTGGATTTGAAAAGAAGGATCAAGTAAGAAATACGATGGCCTCCTAGGAGACTTTGCAGATAAGAGCCTTGAATTCAGGAATGAGAGTTGGGATGTAGAGAAGTGATGGGCAGGAAGCAGTAAGAGAAGGAATACTAAGGAGGGAGAATGGAGGAGGGTCAGATGAGTGAACAGACTATCATTTCCCAGAAAAATATCAGTGGAACACTCTAGGGATTTTGACCATGAAGGTA